TTCTTTGAGGTGTATCCTGGACTCCCCCCCCTTTTTGTTGATCTAAAATGAGTTTTAGAGTTTGATGTGTTCTTTCTACCATTCCTTGACCTGTAGGAGAATAGGGAATACCAAATGTATGGTGAACACCCCAGTCATTTAAAAATGTGGCCAATTCTTGTGAAGCATATGAAGGACCATTATCAGTTTTGATTTCTTGAGGGACACCTAATGAAGAAAATGCTTGTGAAAAATGCTGGCAAACATGCTTAGATGTTTCTCCTGTATGTACAGACACAAAAACTGCTTTTGAAAATGTATCAATAGAGACATGGATATTTTTAAATTTCCCAAAAGAAGGGTACTTTGTGACATCCGTTTGCCACTTTTGCAAACTTTCTAACCCCCTTGGGTTGGTTGCTCCTGTAGAAGAGATAGGCTGAACAAGCTGGCAGTCAGAGCAAGCCCGTACAATGGCTTGTGCCTGCTCGAGGGGGATGTTAAAATCTCGTCTGATCTGCGCCTGTGCATTTTGGTGAAAAAAGGCATGACTCAATTTAGCTTGTCCAACAATGTTCGGTAAGGCAGCTGCAGGAAGCCCTGAAGCGCAATCTTTAATGGCTCCTGCAGTTCTCTCATCACACGCTGCTGATGCCAATGCATCGGCTCGTGCATTCCCTTCTGCCATAAATCCTGGGAGACCAGAGTGAGCTCTAATGTGAGCAACAAAGTAAGGATTAGTTCTGTGTAACAAAATTTGATAAAGACAGGTAAGCCAAAGACACAATGTGTCATTGCTAACATCTTTTAAAACAGACCCTTCAATTCTCTTAACAACATTAGCAACATACAGGTGCCGGGCCGTGGAGGCTGCTCTTGTGTAAAACTGGTTCTTTCATTTCGTGAGGGGGCATGGGAACCCTCGTTCTGGGACTGCCGGGCTGCTGGAAATCTGATCCCTGTGGGGATTCTTCCGAACCAGGAAGCAGCGCCGGAGAATTCCCGGGGCTAGGTATTTCTTTCTGGGTTGAAAAATCTCCATTCCTGGGGCAAGCCCTGGCGTTATTTGGAAACATTTCTACTTGGTTGTCGGGGTTTTCTGGTTTTGGAATAAAGCAATTCCCCTCTCTCTCCGAGATATCGTTAGTTTCGTCTGCCTGTCCTGCTACATCGGCAGTTGCTGTTTTCTTCTCCCCCTTCCCCCTTTTCTCGCGGTTGGAGAGGCCGGCTGGGCCCACTCGGAGGGACGTGGCTGCGAGGGTGCGGGTGGAATGGGGCTGGGGCAGGGGCGCGGCGGTGGGGCATTCGCAGCAATGAGCCAACCCCCCTTTTAGCTGAAATTACTAGGGCCATTTGTCGCAAGTACCTGAAAGAGGTCCAGTGTTACACTCCTGGAATTAAGGACTCTAATTGGGGTACCTGTACTGAAAGGCAGAGGGCTATAAGAGCTCGTTCTAGGAAACCTCCTGAAGAATACCCCTGCTGCCGAGAAGATGGTACCCCCCGTGGCTCGACGCAACCGAGTCGACGGGCGAGGCAGAGGAGTAAACAACTGTAGAGGGAAGAACCCACAAACTGGGATACCAGAGCGATGCTCAGAGAACTGCCTCAGGAGTGGGACTAAAAACCCTAAAGATCCTTGGTACAACATGCGACACCTAACTAAGGGAAGATTAGCATCAGATCACAATTATTTATTAATCGTACCCATGCCGTCGACAACCTCCACCACTCAATCCAACACACTATATTTTTGCTGATTATATTTGGTTTAGGAAAAGCTAATAGCAAAGACACACATCCTCATGAGCCCTTTACATGGACTTTAACTAGGTAGAGTGATAACAAAATCCTGCAAACAATCACCACTGTAAAGGGATCAAGTTTCCAAGTGGGATTATGTGATTTAACTGCCATTGAACACTGTGGCAAGGTACTAAACCTGACAGGATTCTATATGTGTCCAAGTGCTAACCGAGGAAAACCATACTGTAACTACCCAGGGGAATACTTTTGTGGGTACTGGGGATGCGAGACCATACCCTCCCATTGGACACCGGAGGGGGGCCCGACTCACACATACAAGCGGGGTTTGGGCCAGCCAAATGCAGTAAACAAACCTCGGCATATCTAGATAATTGTGCATTTGTCTATATAAATGTCACTCAACCGGGAGACCAAGGGTGGCTCTTAGGGAAAACCTGGGGAGTGAGACACTGGGAACCTGGAAAAGATAGAGGGAACCTAATACTAATTAAGAAAGAGAAAGCCCCAAACGATCCCCCAGAATTAATAGGGCCAAATAAGGAAGTGGGAGGACTAGACGCAGTGATTAAGGACCCGCACAATATCACCTGGGAATCTGAAAACAAAACGGTCACCCCACAGGGAAAAAACATGACTATAAAAGCAGGGTCAGAATATAGTGAATATAGTACCCTATGGAAAGTTATGCAAGCTAGTTATGGAATTCTGAACAAAACAAACCCCGAACTGACTAAGGAATGCCGGTTATGTTACAACATTAGGCCACCGTTTTATGAAGGTATCGGGATAACATCAAAAGTTAGGAGAATAAATGGAACAAACTCATCACAGTGTCTTTGGAGAAGGAAGAAGGAAGTATCCCAGCGATTAACATTATCCCAAGTTACTGGGAAAGGGACATGCATAGGAAATATCCCCAAGGATAAGGAAGATTTGTGTGGGGTAATTATGCTACAGAAACAAGATGAGAAACCGGCTGACTGGCTACTGCCAGCCGCGAACACTAGATGGGTTTGTAATAACATAGGAATTACACCTTGTCTTTCTTTGAAATTGTTTAATTATACCCATGATATTATGGGTATAATTAAACTGCATTCAGTTTCATTATAAACTGCATTCAAGTCTCCATAATACCTAAAATTACGTACCACTCTAGTGAGTATGTATATAAGCAGCACACTACGGCAAATCACCACCTAGAGAAAAGAGAACCCCTTACCGCAATAACCATAGACACCCGCCTTACTATAGGAGGAATAGGAGCAGGTACCGGGGTAGCCTCCCTGGTAAATCAGCACAAAGAATTTCGGGAGTTAAGAATTTCAGTAGATGAAGATTTGAATAGGATAGAACAGGCTATTGATGGATTGGTAAAATCAGTACAATCTCTGTCGGAAGTGGTCTTACAAAACAGAAGAGGATTAGATTTACTATTCCTGCAACAAGGGGGATTATGTGTAGCGCTAAAGGAAGAATGTTGCGCATATGCAGACTATACCGGAGTTGTCATAGATACAATGGCAGAACTAAGAAAACGGTTAAACAGCGGAGAAAAGAAAGAGAAGCGCAACAAAACTGGTATGAGTCATGGTTTAACCACTCATCCTGGCTGACTACTTTACTATCTACTATTGCAGGACCACTGATTTTTCTGATACTTGGACTCACATTTGGGCCCTGTATATTTAATAGGCTGATTTCTATAGTAAAACGACGCCTGGAAGCTGCACACTTGATGCTTGTTAGGACGAGATATGAGCAAATACCAGAAGACGAAATTCTGGAATTAGCTAGGCAGGAATTGCAAAGATTTAGTGAACAAAAATGAACAAGAGCAAATGGGGGGGCGGGGGGGGGGAATGTGATAGAACACGGCGTGTTTTGTTCACTAAGGGATTAAAGTAAGATAACAGGAAACAGATTTCCAGCTCTTGATAAAACCCGGGACTAAAGTAAGATAACAGGAAATAGACTTTCAGCACTTGATAAAACTCACATTGTCCAAAATACGCTTGCCTAACAACTGTTAAGTTTCAGAGAGACAAGCATTGGTACTAAATACGGAAAGGGTCATCCAGAGGAAATCTAAGAAAGATTACCGGCCTTCATCTAGAGACCACCAGGAGGCAGGATACGACCACCTAGCAACAGAAGAACACATACGCAGAGTACAATTTAAAGGACATGTCAGCAGGAAACGATACAGCATAAAAACCGACTGGAACTGACTGTGGTTGCGGCAGTGGGCGGAACGGAGACTCCCCTGCCGCCCAGCGCTGATTTGCTTATGCCTTCCGTGCTGTAATCAAAAAATTCTTGTTTGATTATACCAATAAGGCGTGTCACTTTTTATCACAGATTGACTGGAAGTCCTGGTGAGTCACAGTGTGAAGATCATGCTGCATGCTGGAGGAAACTTCTCATATCCCTGCCCCAGCTGCATTATCAGCTTGTTGCTAGGGACATGCTGCTACCACCCAGAACAGGAGTCTCCGTCCCCAAAGGTGCTGGCCCTGGTGTCTGGCCAGGACTGTAGTTGGGCCTCCCCTTGCCAGGAAAGTGCTTGAGCAACATCTTTGGGCTTCACCTCTGCTCTCTGGCTGGTAGCAGCAGCACTGGCTGAGCTGATTGTCTGTGCACAGCCAGGAGTGCGCAGGCAGCAGCCGGGCACGGGGCTCCTGAGGCACCATGTTTTGTCTTCATTTTTCTTTTTTAGAAATTAGAAATTTTTTAAAATATTCAGACTTTTTTCTTTTTGTAGAAAGAAACCCCCAAATATTTCTCCCCTTTTCCCATAGTAGTTTAGGGTTTTTCAAAGGAGTTTTAGAATAGGAAAAAATGTAGAACATTTTTACCCTTCTAGAATGAACACCAGAATTTAATAGCCAATCTTTACTCCAGGAAGAACTAAGACATCTCAAGACACCTAGTCTACTCGAGAAACCATTTGCCCTCTGGAGATTTTTACTTAGTCACAACAACCAATGAAAAACCTTTTCCCTGATATTTTTCAGAATATCTGACAAGCTTAAGCCCCATTTCCCATTCCTCTCCCAGAATGTTACACAGGGCAGGGAAAGAGAGTGGAGAGTTGCCAGGAGCCAACCCAGAGCTCCCCAGTCCCCTCTGCAGCTTTGGCCACGTCCATTCACATCTGGCTCCCATGGCCTTACCAGACGGCGTTGCAGTGCCCCTTTCTCTAAGGCAGAAGGGGATCCCAGCATACACAGAAATAGTTCTGATTTCTGCTTCCCTTCAGATTGGGATCGCAACTTGCATTATCTAGATGCCCTGTTGGATGCCAGCTTGAGAATGTTGGAGAATGCTGGAGGCAAGTTCTCGTGTGCTCTCCATGACAGAATAATCAGTGTCCATGTGGCAAGAGCTCACTCATCCCCCATGTCCTTGAACATAGTCTCATGGATGAAGAAATCTGGAAATCTTCCCCTGCTCCCTTTTGCAGTCCTGAGGGATCCCACAGGATCGCTGTCAGTGAGAGGAAGGAGCATTTAGCTTTCAATCTTCCTCCCATGTGCAATGCCAGTGTGTCCTTCCATGTGCTCTGTGCAGCCAGGGAGAAGGGCAGAGAGGGAAGGGGCCGGGCCCAGGGCTGTGCCCCGGGGCTGAGCCTTTGGCAGCTCTTTTGCCTGCCCCAGGGAGCCTGAGCTGCTCCTGCTGCCACTGCCAAGCCCTGGCCCTGCCTGGGGCTGGCTTTAGAGCTGCTGGCAGCTCCAGGGAGTCCTTTCTGCCCCGACTGCCCCACAAGGGGCTCCTTCCATCCCAGTGTGGGGCCACTGCAGGCACGAGGTCCCCCTGCCCCTGCTCCTGAGTGGAAGGCAGAGCTGAGGCGGGCCCAGGGCTGTGCCCCGGGGCTGAGCCTTTGGCAGCTCCTCTGCCGGCCCCAGGGAGCCTGAGCTGCTCCTGCTGCCACTGCCAAGCCCTGGCCCTGCCTGGGGCTGGCTTTAGAGCTGCTGGCAGCTCCAGGGAGTCCTTTCTGCCCCGACTGCCCTGCAAGGGGCTCCTTCCATCCCAGTGTGGGGCCACTGCAGGCACGAGGTCCCCCTGCCCCTGCTCCAGAGTGGAAGGCAGAGCTGAGGGAGTGCCTTGGAGGGCACCAAACACTCAGGTGCACCCCCTGCTACTTGGGCCTGAAGGAGAATCTTCAGCAGGGTCACAGGAGCTGTTCTGTCCTGGCTTTCTTTGCAGTTGAACCTGATGATAAAGGTGATCCAGCTTCTAAACCCATGTCCGGGAATGACCTTCTGAGAGATGCTGAAGGTAGGCCAAGGCCTTTCACCCGGGAGAGCTGCCAGATCAGAGCCCAAAGCTCAGCCATGGGGGCAGAGATGACAGAAGCTTTTGTGCCTGTTGAGTTTCAGGCGTGTCTGCAGGGTGGACTTTTCAGACGCCTTTGCTGGTTACTGCACGCAGGCCTAGCTCCCATCGCAGGGGTGAGTAGTGTGTCCCTGCTGACCCCACAGGCTGAGCCCTGCTCTTGTGGGGGCCATTCCTGTGAAATGGAACTCTGTTGCTCTAAGGTCCTCCAAGGAGAAAGAACAAAGCTACAGGACACAAGGAATCCCATGGGCCGCCTGAATACATGAGGCAAATGCTGAAGGAAATGCAGCAGGCAGGAGGACAAGGTGGGTGCATTTCCCTCATGCTTCCCCTGGGTCTCAGCAGCCGGGGCCTTTGGCTGCACATCTGGACACGCTGTGCCCGGCACAGCGGGAAGGGATCCATGGCAGCCTCGCTGCCCTGCTGCTGCTTTCATGCCCTGCAGGGCTGTTTCCCAGCCTGGCCTGGCTGCAGCTTCTGCCCAGCCCCTGCAGGAAGGCATTTGGCATCAGCTGACAGGCAGCCCAAACTGCACCACGGGCCTGAGATCCCCTGAAATTTCATAGTCTCCAGGATGATCACTAAGGGCAGGTGTTATCATGA